AAATAATTCGGTCATAAATTTCAATTTCAAATTACCGACACCATACTTTTAATGAATACAGCGCTATTATTAAATTTTTTTTTTTAGAAGAACATAGTGTTATTTTTGAAAAAAAATATTTTGTATTTCTTAGAAAATATTTCCTCCTATCATCAACGAGATTCAACTATTCAAGGATGGTGCCATATGCAACAACTAGGTCCCTCCTATTACCCATCCAGCCTAATAGGTTTTAATAATGTTTCCTATGATTAATAATCGGGGCCCTTGAGTTTTTTTTTAGGTGAGTGACTTGTTGTAGTTGACGTTGTATTTTTGTCTTTTGAGTTAGTTAGTTGTTTATTTTTCTCTTTTAATCCTTGTGTATATCCTTGCGTGAAATTATTACATATTGATCTTGACTAATTATTATTTCACATTTAAGTAAAAAAATTAAATAAAACTTACATATTTTGGTAATAATTTCATGTTACCCTTAAAAAATTAATTAAAATTTATACATTTTGGTAATAATTTCATGTTACCCTTAAAAAAATTAAATAAAACTTATACATTTTGGTAATAATTTCATGTTACCCTTTATTGTGGATAGCTCCAATTTTGAATTGGATGCGGACAATCACCAATCGATCATATATAGACAAAAAGTTAAATAAAGATGATATTAAACCATGATTGACCCGGATTACATTATTCGACCATCAATTATTTTTATTTTTTTATATATGGTGTGAACTTAGGCGTGACAAAAAGTTAAATAAAGATGATATCAGACCGTGATTAACCGGGACTACATTATTCGACCCTCCATTATTTTTGTTTCTTTTTATATGGTGTGAACTTGGGTGTGTTTGCAGGTGTTTTTTTTGTGACTTTTATTTTTGCAATTATTATTTTAGGGTAAAATGTAAAAAAAAACTGTCTTGAACTACGTTCGAATTTATAAGTAACCATTCTGAATTATATTTTGTGTATAATACTCTCTAAGCTATCATATTTTGTTACAAAATATCCCAAAGCCTAAATTATATTTCATCAAATTACCATAATGCCCTTTCAAATTACACTTAATATATATATTTTTATTGAAATAAATTATGAAAAAAAATTCAAACTAATTTGATGACATATTCTCCATTAAATTGTATAAATTTATCTTTAATTTTTCAGATTAATTATTCATATAAAAATCTTAAGTAGAAAATTTTAAAACAATTTAATTAGTTTCTTAAATTTTCATGAATATATTACATGAGAAAAGGTATTTTTTTTATTTAAGTTATTTATTAATTTTTCATCAATATATTGTATGAAAAAAAATGTATTGGATATATTAAGTTTTATTTTAAATAATAAAATTTTAATAATGAGTTAATCATTTTAGAAAATGGTAGTTACAATTTTTTTTTTTTTTTTCATTTTTATGATAAATTGACACAGATAATAAAATTAAGGTAAATAAAATTAATATTGAGATAAAAGAAAAGATAATAAAATTAATTTCATAAGAAATGACAAATTTAATTAGAATTGTTAAAATAGACTTTTACGATATGTTTGTCCTTAATTACAACAAATCAATAGTAAGGGACAATATTTAGTTCAGGATTTGGAGTTTTTTTTTTTTTTTTTTTTTTTTGTCCTTTACCCATTATTTTATTCTTGTATAATTTTTGAATTGGATATGACCAATCACCAATCGTTCATATATTGACATAAAGTGAAATAAAATGATATCAGACAGCGATTGATTGGGACTACATTATTCCACCATCAATTATTTTTGTATTTTTCCATATGGTGTGAACTTAGGCGTGTTTGCAGGGTTTTTTTGTGACTTTTGTTCTTACTTTTGTTATTTTAGGATAAAGTGCAAAAATACTTTCTTGAAGTATGTTTGAATTTTTAAATAACTCCTTATATTTTGTGCATAATACCAGTACGCAAAAAAAGGTAATTTTTAGTTATGCTATTTATTAATTTTTCATCAATATATTGTATGAAAAAGAAGATATTTTTCTACAGTAAAAAAGTTTAAACTAGATATATTAAGTTTTATTTTAAATAATAAAATTTTAATAATGAGTTAATCATTTTATAAAATGGTAGTTACAATGTTTTATTTAATTTTTTATTTTTATGATAAATTGATACCAATAATAAAATTAAGGTAAATAAATTTAATATTGAGATAAAAAGAAAAGATGAAAAAAATAATTTTATAAGAAATGACAAATTTAATGAGAAATTGTACTAACAGGCCCGTGATTTAGCGGTACTAAGCTTATGCTTCTCAAAGAGAGATTAAGAGTTCAAGTTTCAGTGGAGACATGTGTGTATGAGTACCAATTAAAAAAAAAAAAATAATGAGAAATGGTAAAATAAACTTTTATTATGTGTTTGTTTTTAATTGTAACAAATCAATAGTTCAGGGGTAGTTTTTGGTTCAAGAGTGTTAGTTGCAAATGGACAATAATTCAAGCATTTTTTTTTTTTTACCCATTATTTTATTGAAAGAAAAGGATGTGTTTAAATTTTGAATTAATTTCAATGACGCTCTTGAAGTTTGGACAAATCTCACATTAAGGTATCTTTCAAAAATTACTATCACTTAGATCCCAACTTTCTTTTCAGTTACTTTTACCGTTAAAAATATGCGAAATATCATATATACCCTCACTTTTTAAAATATTTTTTACCTCAAATATCATAAATTTAGAAAGTAAAAAATGCCCCTAATAAATGTCATCTCTCCAAACCCTCTTCTTCTCTCTCCACCAACCAGCAACTGCTCAATATTTTACCTGAACGGACAAAGAGATGGCTTATATGATCTATTGCTTCGACAGTGCTGGAGATGGGAAGGTCATTACTTGCTCTTCTTCATTTGAATTTATATCTATAAATATTGTTGGGTGAATAATAATAATAATAATAAAAAATCTATCAAACAAAAAATATTCAAAAAAATTGAAAAGTAAATGCAATGTAAAAAGGAGGATGAATTATGAACTTGCAATGCAAATCAATTGCTCTCTTTGTAATCATGAAATGATTTCGTGCTTTCCAGATATTTTTTGGGTGAGATTGCTAATGGCCTGCTGGTTTTTATTTTTATTTTTTTGCGATCAGTAAATAGTTAGCTGATGGTACCCAAAATTAAAGAGTTTAAAACAATTTTAAGCAAAGGTAAAATGAATCCTAAGAGTTTCTAACATTCTTTAGTTTTTTTATTTTTGCTTAGAAGATGTTTTGTTTCTCCTTTCATGAACAAGAAGATGTTTTGCAGTTTGCACCCTCTATCTCCAATCTTCTTTATGCTATATCAACGTTTTGAAGTAAAAGAGAATTAGAATCCTTCAGTACCCACTACCACTTTGAAAAGTGATACAGTTGGGGGGTGTGAGCGAAAAATAGATTAAATATTTATGATGTGAATAATAATAATTTTTATTTGAGGTGTGATGAAAAATAAATCAGATATTTATGACTTGAGTGATATCCCATCAGAAGAAGTGTTAATAAAATTAGCCCTTGAAATTTTTATTGACTCTGGGAGTTGGTAAACTGTCTTGAGATACATTTTTTTTTTTTTTTTTTTGAAAGATTAAGCAATGTGTTAAAATAAGATACATTTATTTATTTTTGTGAGATACATACCAAATAAACTCCAGTTAGTAAACTCATTCTTCATTTTGCAAATGTATTTTAATTAAGGATCGAAAGTGATTGATTTGACCTTGAGATATATTTCAAATAAAATCCCAATTAGGAGACTAAGGCTTGAACCCTTTTTCTCCTTTTAAAAGGTAAGTCAGTGGCTGTTCATAAAATATTTTTATTATCTTTTTTTTATTTAAATAATAATTATATTATTTATGTTAATTTAATTATAAGTATCAATTTATTATAAAAATAAATAAATAAATAAATAAATTTTTATTTACCATTTTTTTAAATGATTAATTTATTATTAAAACTTTATTATTTGTGATTTAAAAAAATTTATACTCACTTTAAACTTTTTTACCTATAAAAATACATTATTTTCATGCAATATATTTATGAAAAATTAATAAATATTTCAATAAAAAATACTTTCTTTTTTATGCAATATATTCATTAAAAAATAAGAAATTACTTTAATTGTTTTAAAATTTTCTACTTAAGATTTTTATTTTAAAAAATAAAGATAAATTTATGCAGAAGAATATGTCATCAAATTTAATATGAATTCTTCTCATAATTTATTTCAATAAAAAAAATAAATTAAGTATAATTCAATAGAAAAGTACATCATAGTCATTTAATGAAATATCGTCAAGGCATCGGAGCATTTTGAAACTAAATATAATAGTTCATGAAATTTTATGCATATGCACATGCACTTTACCCAATATTATATTGTTATAACTCTGTTTATATTTGAGTTATAAATTATGACGCATGCTAATAATAGAAAATTTATTACATGATCCGAAATTATTAATCCGGTTAATCATAAAACAATACATAGACAAAATGCTGATTAACAATTGAAAAAATATTAAATAGTCGTAATCTGTTCACAGTTGATGAAACAAATGAATATAAACTCTTCTACGGAAAATGAACCCACAAAATTATACTAATTTCGTTCCAAATTAAATATTTTATTTGTTAGTCAGGATTTTTTTTTTTTTTTTTTTTAAAAAACAAAGAGAGTATTAATATATCAAAAGAAATCTCAACCACCCTGGGGATTGAGTAGGTCGACGGAGGATTTAATGGCCCAAAAATAATAGTGTACTAGTAATTTTTCTTAACAATGACACGAAGTTGTTAAATTTGTTTACGTATCCGACTGTGACTGGCAGACAAACGTAATAATTTGTCCTTTGTAAAAAGATTCGCAGCAGTGAGTACGACACAATTGTAAGATTCACAGCGGTAAGTGCGATTTGGGTACATAGTGAGTTTGGCTTTTTACAGAAAAATGTACACACTTTATAGAGAGGTGGTGGTGAGAAGACAGATAAGAAGATAGACTGTACCCCCCCGCCACATGTCTCAGGCAAATTTGGCAATGGTCTCCGAGTTTCCTCCGTGTCCTCTCTCTCCTCCTATATATCTTCTTCTAACTTCATCACATTTTCTCTCACTAAGATTTTGATTTGCATATATAGCCACACGCACACAGAGAGATTGTATTGGAAGCTCCTAAATCTATCTATCTTAGACCAATGAAAGGTGATACTGTTGTTGAAGATGGGTTCATGTGCGAAGAAGAGACCCATCTCACTGTTCTCAAGACCTCTCTCTTCTTCGCCGGCGATGGATTCACCGTCTACGATTCCAAAGGTGAGCTCGTCTTCCGAGTTGACTCCTATGGACCCGATAATGAGGTAATACTCATGGACGCCTCCGGCCGCTGCCTCCTCACCGTCCGCCGAAAGGTATATTTTATTCTTGTCGTTTAATCACTGCTAGTCTTCCATGTCTGTCACATTATCACACCGAGTTAACTCGGCGACTCGTTTAAGTTGCTGTTATAAATCGAATATTCAAAGTTACAGACAAGGAAAAAAAAAAAGAAAAAAAACATTGAATTGGTGGACATGGATTGTTTCCATTTCTAAATTGCATAATGGGTATCTTATACTTGTCATTAACTTCTGAGTTGTTTGATGGGTCCCTACTGGATTTGTAATTTACAGTATGACTTAATCGATTATATAACTCCGAGTTGACTCGGTCTCAATCAGTTATGTCTGTCAAACAAACAAAAAAAATCATGCAAGTAAACGTACATATTCAATAGATTGATATGTGCAAAAAAAAAAAAAAAAAAAAAAATAGATTGACATGACCGTGAATTTCCATATTTTTAATGATGTGTGATTCGTTCACTTGAACGAGCCCGAGTCAACTCGAACGAGTTGTGATTCATGTAATTATTGATGTTTGTCTCCAATAGTGGCCGAGTCTGCATCATCGGTGGGAAGGGTTTTTGGGAGAGAAGACGGAGGGTCAGCAACCGATCTTCAGTGTGCGGAGATCGTCGGTCGTGGGACGGTCGAGCATGACGGTAGAGGTGTTCGGAGATGCAGGTGAGGAGTACCAGATAGAAGGATCTTTCTGTCAGCGCAGCTGCACCATCTTCAGTGCGGCTAAGGAATCAAAGGCTGAGATCAGACGCAAAGTGGATGCTTCGGCCCACGTGATGCTTGGGAAGGACGTCTTCTCTCTGTGCCTCAAACCGGGTTTTGATAGTGCCTTCGCCATGGGATTGGTGCTAGTCCTTGATCAAATCTACGGTGGTAGTGATTGGGCTGATGAAGGTAGGGTCGAGGTGGACCCCACCACAGTGGAATCCGAATGCAGGGTCGAGGTGGACCCCACCACAGTGGAGTCCGAAGGCAGGGTCGAGGTGGACCCCACTATTGTGGAATCCGAATCAACATTGATTTGAATGTCGTATGATTTTGCATATAGTAGTTGTAGTAGTATTATTACTACAAGAACCACTTTAGATCAGTGGTAATGTAATGGGAGGAACAACGTTGTCTTGATCCTTGGTACTTTTTTTTTTTCAAAAGTCTATAACGAAAACAAGGTGCTAGGTTTGAGCTAGGCTAGCGGCCAAACTCATGTCCAAACTTGGTTTGTTCTCGAGTGACGAAGATCCATTAGAAAAATTAACTACTAACAATCAGGTGTGTTTATGTTTATTACAATATGGTGTTAAAACAATAATGTTTATGACATTATGTTAAAGATATATCTCATTTACATGTGTAATGAGCTGCAGAGTTTAATAAACAAGCTAAAAAATGCTATTAAAGTTCAATTTGTTTTGGTTCAAGTCTATTTTTGTGATAAGAAAATTTTAATTGTCCCAGTTGTATTAGTGACGTGATATCATCAATTGACTAAATACTGATAAATAATTATAAAATTTATTTAAATAAAGCACTATTACTTATGGACAACTTTTATTGTTCTGAAATATTTAAAAGTTCTGAAATATTCGGGTGTTGCTTTAAGTGCAATATAAGTGAAAAAGTAATTCAATTTTTAGATTACACTCCTTTTTTTTCTTATATATATATATATTGATAAGCTAAAAACTAAGGACTCTTTTTTGTTTTGTTTTTACCATTCCTACAAATTGTTTTGTTTTGCCCTCTTCGACCAAGTTGGTTTACAGACACCATTTTAACAATATATAATATGGGTTAAATTACACCAATTTGCTTCAAAGTTTGTCATTTTTTGTTTGTCAAATTACACTGACTTTTTTATCAAACTTGAGGGGTTTGAAATTAATTTTTTGTCCTTATATATATATATAAAATTTTGTCAAATTACACCCCACATTTATTACTTTAACTTTTCATAAGAGATGAAGGTAGTACTATTTTAGCCGGATTCGATAGAGCTTTATGCTCGATGGAGTGGATGAAATCCTTGTCTAATTCGTCTTTATTTCATCAACAAGTGAGAGGGTCAAAATCCTTTTAACTATATTGAGTTGTTGTTCGTTGCCTGATTTTCAGAGTTTAATATGATTTTTTTTAGACGAGACACGATGGGAACGAAGAGCACTTTCCATATACGGTGAGGAGGCGATATGTTACATGTGAAACTTGTTCCACGTCGAATTTGGATGGGGGTTGAAGTGTGTATAAATGGGTGGGTATGTAGCACTACTCAATAATTCAAGCTTTTGGGTAAATGGGCAAGCGCCCATCCTTTACACGATACCATGACTAATTAAAAGGAATCTGGTGGCCATAATAATAGTAGTGTGAAATAATTTTTTTTATTTTTTATTTTTTGAAGAAGGTGATATTCTGACTCCACTTTTATATATAATTGTACTTCAATCTTAAAATGATACAATTACCCTTTTTTAATTATTGTAGGATCTTTTTGTTTTCCCCTCTTTTCCATTAATTAAGGTTTTTTGGTATATCTTGTATTTCTAAATTCTTTCTCTATTTTGCATTAACTTTCTCTTTTATCTCTCGTTATGGTTTGATATTGATTTTTGTAAGTAATAATGAAAGATTTCACAAAATAATAATAATAATAGAGTTGAATGATGTAGTTGATCTTGTTAGCATAAAAAAAATATTGAATTGCGATTTCAAATTTTGATAGTGGGGAATAATGAGAGTTTTTAGTTTCCAATTAATGTGATGAAAGAGAAAGCACAATGTTTTCTTTTTTTATTTTCCTTTTTCCTCCTTTCACTTATACCATCCAAGAGATGATCCAATAGATGCATAAACATCATCATTATTATTATTATTATGGTTATTATTAGGATAAAATGTACTAAACCCCCCTCAACTATGACCGTCCCTGAAATAAGCAAAAACTCCTAAACTATTAATTTGCTATACTCAGTGACCAGCCGTGAAGTAGTCGTTAACAGAAAAATGAAATTACCTTTTAGCCCTTAATTGAACGACATCGTCTTAGTGATTTTTTGTTCGATAGATGATGATGTGGCATTGTAATCTCTAGAACTAATAAAGAAGCTACACGTACCTACCTAACTTTATCAATAACATCGGTTGCATCTAATGGGCGCCAAATGTGTCCTCTCGCGCCAAAAAGTCCTAAACTAGTGCTTAACAATATGGCAAACAAGTCCTATGTACGCTGTTGACTCTGTCTGAAAATTCCAGTAATTTTCCTTCCTTCTTGCTTCCAATTTCTCTCTCTCAACCCTGATTGCTGGGTGTGTACTAAGTCGTGAAGAGATCCGGCCATTGACGTTGCTACCGCGGTGCTAGGGTGTGTACTAGTTCGTGAAGAGATCACCGCGCGTCGACGAACTCGGCTTGCGGTTGAAATTGTGTTGTGGACATTTTTCTTGATCGACGACCATTTCTGGACTGTCGGCGAGGAGTTGTTGTCATCATTGTGCCTTCGTCGTGAACCAGTGTGCAGATCCGAAGTTTACAGAGATTGACTGTGTTGTGTAGCCCACCGACGACCTCTTCGTTTGCTGACGTCGGTGGCTGTCGTGTGTAGTCGCCGTTGTGACTGATTTTGTTGTCGTTGGCTTCGTATGAAACTGAGTGTGGTTCTTTGCTGTAGCCGAGAGATTTGCAGAGGCTTCACCGTCGTCCCTTGGCTGTTAATTGACTTGTGGTGGTCTCGATTCTCCATTCTGGACCTCGGATCCTTGTTGTCGGCAGCAGATTGTGGTCCTCGCCGGCGTTGACAGTGAAGAAGAAGAGTGGTGTTTGGCTACGGATGTGGAGCTATCCCAACCTTGGTTTACTAAAACCAGGTTTGCAGAGATCTGATTCTAGTTCAGCCCGATTCTGCAGACCGAAGAACGGTGTTTGGCTACGGATGTGAAGCTATCCCAACCTTGGATTACAAAAATCGGTTTTCAAAGATCCGGTTCTGAATCGACCCGAACTTCACTTCCTGATGGACAATTAATAAGGGATGGAGGTAGTATATCTTTCACTCAATAGTATAAATAGCTACCTCATTTTCAGATTTACATACCAACATTCCAATTATCAATAATAAGAAAATGGGTTTATGAAATTACTCTCTAAAATCTTATATTTTTATGATTTTTAGACTCTTTCCTGCGTCCAATGTATATATATATATATATAATGGTGAATATAATGGACTTTAACAATTATAAGGGTATCTGTGGTATTTTGTATTTTTACTAAGGCACATGAGTCATGTGTCAAATTATCAGATGTTCAACAAACGGGTTAGATTTTTAGTTTTCACAACAAATAGGATAATTTAGGGGGTTAAATATATTCCTTAGCGGGTTAGATGTATTCCTTAAAGTTTGGGGAGTTTTTTTTTTTTTTTTTTTGGGAAAAGAGAAGGAAGTACATAGGGTTTAGTGCACCTTACCCTCATTATTATAATGTTGTACTATTATTATTAAAGTTGACAATTGGTGAGTTTGGATAAACTTTGAGCTTATCATAAGTGGGTTGATCATGAATGTCACATTATCAACCTACATAACAGGGGGTCATAAGTAAATTGAGTGTTTAATGAACTGATCATCCCATATATAACACGTCGGTTCACTTAATTTATTATTATTATTATTATTTCATTTTTTCCCTCCTTTACTCACAAATTATGTTTGTGTATAACTTTTATATATATAAATTTATATTTTAACGTACTCATATGTCAATGACTGATTTTCAGTAATTAATTTTCAAATGGTAATATTTATATTTTTTTTAAGACTGGACTTCATTGCTAACTAGTTCTTTTTCCTATTTTATAGGACTTATGTTATGATTGAAGAACATAACCCATAAACTAAAGCCCATGTGCATTAAGCCCTTTCAACTTTCTTTCAAAACCTTTTATTTTTAAGCCCATCAACTATATCTCCTGATACAAGCCCATACACACGAGAAGAGAGAGAGAGAGAGAGAGAGAGAGACGAAAGGAGAGAGAGAGAGGAGAGAGAAAAATGAGGAGTGGGAAAAATAGGAAGAGATATAAAAAAAAGAAACAATAATTTAATATTTGAAAAGTATGATGTGTGGTCTCCTAACCCACTACCAACTCACTACAGTATAATTATACGGTCAAATATGCTAATCTAATCAGTGGAGAACTTAGAAATATGCTACAAACTACTCAAGTTTGTGAATACATCAACTAGGACTCCATGAAAATGTTTTCATTACTAAATATGCTGGGGCTATTCCACCCCAAGATTTTTTAAAAATAAATAGGAGAGGTTCTGGGCTAGCTCCATAAAAATGTTTTCATTACTAAACAAATATTCAGGGATGGAGCGAGGGGCTACTAAAGATCACGAACCTACCTTTTTCTTTTCTATTGCAATTTCTGAATTATTATATGATAATTTTTAACTTTCCATATATAGAATGGATATTAAATGAATGGAGTTGGAATATTGGATGGAATTGAGCTTCCTTATGAAATGAGGCGTGGAAGGGAGCCACTGTGAAGAAGTTCCACGAGTTATGAAAAAAGCTTGGAACTTATATTGGTCATGCGTTGAGAATGAGAATTGAATTTTATGAGATCTAATCTTTTGTTGTTTCTCAGTGACTCAGTGGTGGAGCGATCCATTTTTAACTGACTGATTGTACGTTCGAATCCTACTTAAGGAGATTTGATTCATTCCTTGTCTTTGTTTTTCAAAGATTTTTTCGAAATAAATATATTTTATATCTCCTTGAAACTCATAAAAAAAAAAAAAAGTTCACCTTCAACTTTTTTAGCCTTACTTTTGAACATATTATTTCTACATTTGCAATTACATTTACAAGCATAATCTGCCTCATACGAGTTCAAGAGAGAAAAAAGAAATTTTCATGTTTAATAATAATTCATGAACCTTTCTTGTAAAACTTTTGTTAAATGGTTTTTCCAATAAATATATGTAGAATTATTTGTTAATCCCGGCGAGTCTTGAGAGTAATGGGAAGGAAAAAAAACGAAAGTGTTATGAGACTAAAATGACAAAAATGCCGACATCAATGATATATATATATATATATATATATATATATGCTAATAATATTTTTATTTCTCACTTATTAAATGATTTTTTTATAGCAACTCCTCATATAAGTTTATTAAAATACTTTTCTATTTTGTTTTCAATAATCATATTTTGCTAAAGTTTGCAATAAAACTTGCAAAATTTCGTTTGATTAAAATGATACACTCTTTTTAAATCTTTTATCAAGGTAATAATGAAATATTTTTCATTAGCTTCACCGTTGTTTGTGGTCTAGTGGTATCTCTTTTACCGTTTGAAATGTATGATAAAGGTTCAAATTTTGACAGTAGCAAAGTGTGTGAATTTCTGTCCAAAAAAAATTATATAGAAAAAGAAAAATAAAAAGAGTAGAGGTACTCAATTTTGGTGGAATTTTTTACACTCGTTATAGTGCGTTTGGATTTTTTTACACTCGTTATGGTGGGTTTGGATTTTTTTGTTACACCCATGTACATCTATTTGAGTTGTGGGTCCATATCTCACAATTACTTTAGCTGCCGTCCGTTTCAGACTAGTTATGTAGTTTTAAGTAGTTAGGTGGACAAGGGAGGGGCATGGAGAATAAAGATGGGTGATGGCCACGAGAGTCAAGACTAGTCATTTTCACTCAAATAGTTCTTTACAAATTGCTTGAATCTGAATGTTGGATAGTGTTTGAGACAGAATAAAAACAGAGGTAGAACAATAAATTATATATATTGCATTTATTATTATGAATGTAGGAGACAATTAAAGCCTAGTTTGGATTTGTGATAATTGGAGAAAAAAATAAAAACAAAAGATGAGGAAGAGGATAGGAGGGATAATCTACTTCTTTGAAGTACTTCGAATTAGTTTGGGTTTTAATTTTGAATCTGAATTCAAGAAGAAAAAAAAATTCGTATCAATGTCCATTCAATTGTTATGTCAATTTTATTTAAATTGTACTTTATTATAAATTTAAGAGAAAATATAGAGCAAAAAAACATAAAATACAAGGGATTTGAATATGCGAAGAAAGGAGAAATAATTTTTTTTCTATTAAAGTTGCCTGACTTCTGGACCAACACTTTATTGTTTTTCCCCCTACTTTCTTGTTCACAAGTCATGCTTATACAAGACATACTATTTCTCTTCCGTCATTCACAATAATGCATGCAAAACATTCATGGTGGGCTAACAATGGACCCATCCTCATAACAGTATTTTCAATTTCTATCTTAGGTTAGGTTGTACTATATTTTTCAATCTTTTCAATTATTTATCAAGAATATCAAAAAATATCACCATTACGCGCAAATGCGTAACCATCTTTTATAATTGATTTGATAGACATTTTTAAAAAATATATAGAAAATACCCTTAATGAATATAATTGGCACCATCCCTAGGAGGACATGTCACTCAACTTTGGTAGTGAAAATTGTTATTTGATAGGAACAAACAAACATTCTATGTCCAATTTTTTTCTTTCTACAAACAAAGCACAAGATTCAAACACAGTGCTATATGTACCTCCTATGTCCCACTTGATTGTATTAAGAGAACTTATCTCGGGTAAATGGTTAGCCTAATACGTTTAAAAATGTTTTTTTTATTATTAACGATGGAGACCTTTTGAATTTTTAAGCTGGGTGACATCTAAGTTGATTTTGTATCTTTCTTTTGAGTGAGTCGTACGTTTGTTATTCTCTCTTTCATCCTTTTGTTTATTGTTACGAGAAATTATTACATAGTTGGCAAATCATTTATCTAAGCAAATTATTATTTGACATTTAAGACAAATTAAATAAAACTTACCAGCTACTTCTTTCACAATTGCTTACCGACTACAATCCATGACTATTGGAACTAGTCAATCACAGAGTTACAGTCTATTAACAATGGACAAATCATTAAATGATGATATTGACATTTTGTGAACCAAATCAATTTCCAACTCTTTAAGAGAATGAACCCACAAAAATGTGTTAAATGTATCTAAACAATTGGCTGGATTGTGAGCCGCTGGACAAACACAATAATTTATTATTTGTAATAAGATTCGCAGCAAGCGCAACACATTTGGGTCCCCCGTGAACTAGACTTTTGAGAGGGAGAGCTAGAGAGAGAAGAATGGACCTTTTTTTTCTTTCTTAGAGAGGTGGAGAGATGGAGAAAGATATTCTCTGTGCTAAATATATCTTGTTCAGTTAATAAAAATATATTATTTTATAAAATTGACCTCATTTATATTTAAAAATTACTTTTAACAAAATTATTATGTTAATTTTTATTGCCCAAACTTATCATGTGGTTAGTATGCCCAGCCGCACCCAATATTTACTCGGAGAGAAGACGTATTGACTCTGCCTCTCATCGTCATCCCAGATATGAAGGGTTCGCCACTTGTCTCAGGCGACGAGCTCCGACTTTCCTCCCTGTCATCTCTCTCCTCCCATATATCTTCTACTAAGTTCATCACATTTTCTCTCACTAAGATATTGATTTGCATAGCCACACATAGAGAGATTGCATTGAAATCTCCTAATAACTATTTTAGAAGAATGAAAGGTGGTTTTGTTGTTGAAGATAGGTTCATGTGCGAAGAAGAGACCCATCTCACTGTTCTCAAGACCTCTCTCTTCTTCGCCGACGATGGATTCACCGTCTACGATTCCAAAGGTGAGCTCGTCCTCCGAGTCGACTCGTATGGGGGCGATGCACGTGACAAGGCCGATGTCGTACTCATGGAAGCCTCCGGCCGCTGCCTCCTCACGGTCCGGCGAAAGGTAAATTTTATGCTTGTCGTTTAATCAGTGCTAGACCATGTCTGTCACATTAGCACACGAGTTAACTTGGCTAGTCATTTAATTAGCTGATTATAAATCGAATATGCAAAGTTTCTGTTTCTGTTTCTTTTTTTTTTTTTTTTTTTTTTTTTTTTTTTTTTTTTTCACATGGTTTGAGAGTTAGAGAGGGTTAGAGGGGCGATTACTTAAGGCCTGACCTAGGCGGTTAGGCCTGACTCGGCAGCATCGCTACATGTCCCATATGCAAACTTGCAAACAATGAAAAAAAGGAAAAAAACAACTCAAATACGCAAACGATAAAAAAAAGAAAAAAAACATTGAATTGGCGGGCAAATATTCTTTGAATCTGTCAGTTCGATCTTGTCCGATCCGTGTAGATTGAATCGGATTGCTATACTCACATATCGATAACGGATTCAACAAAATTAAATCTGTATCTCATGAATCGAATCATGAATTAAATTATTAAAAATCAATTAGGTCTGTAAATTCGATCCGTGAAATTTATATATATATTTTCAAATAATATATTAGTTAATGATAATTTAATGTACTCTGAATATTAGTTAATAATTATTTAAATATATGAATTTATATTAATAAATTAAAATTTTATGTATTGGGTTAGAGTTAAAAAATAAAAAAATAATAATAATAGATAATTTAGTTAAAATTCAATTTGCAGATTCAATTTGATTCGATTAGTGAGATAATAAATCGGTAATGGATTAAATTATAATTAAATTATGATTGATGCCTAATCCGATGCTGGCCACACCTAATTTCCATTACTAATTTGAATTAATGGGCATCAATTAGGATTTGGATTTATTGTTACATTCATTTCAAATCAGAATATGCTATGCTAAAAAAAAAAAAAAAACACTTATATTTTCCTTAACTTGTGAGTTGATTGATGGGTGACTACTGGATTGTAATTTACTGTAATATAGTAAGACCTCAAATCGATTATACAACTCGGAGTCGACTTACTCAGTTATGTCTTTGTCAAAAAAATCATGCTAGCTTACAAACATTTTGAACTCAATATAATGACGAGTGATTAATTTGTTCATTTGAACGAGCGTTAGTTAACTCGGATGAGTTGTGATTCATGTGTTTGTTGTCTCCCATAGAGGCCGAGTCTGCATCATCGGTGGGAAGGGTTTCTAGGAGAGAAGACGGAGGGTCAACAACCGATATTCAGTGTGCGGAGATCGTCGATGATGGGACGGTCGAGCATGACTGTGGAGGTGTTTGGAGATGCAGGTGAGGAGTACCAGATAGAGGGATCATTCAGTCAACGAAGCTGCACCATCTATAATGCAGCGAAGGAATCGATGGCTGAGATCAGACCCAAAGTAGATGATTTGGCCCGCGTGAAGCTTGGGAAGGAAGTCTTCTCTCTTTGCGTGAAACCGGGTTTTGATAGTGCCTTTGCCATGGGATTGGTGCTCGTCCTTGATCAGATCCACGGTGATGACTGGGTTGATGAAGGTGGAGGGGTCGAGGTGGACCCCACCAGTGTGGAATCCGAATCAGCTTGATTTGAATGTCAGATGATTTTGCATGGCTGTCTGGTTTACAACCCTTGACAGGTTGTCTTGATCTTTGCTAATAGTAGTAAGTATTGGGGTTTGTACAACCCCATTGACAGGTTGTCTTGAACCTTTTGGTACTTTTGTTTTACAAAAGTCTAAAGAGAAATACTCAAACTCTATGTATGTCTAAACTTTGTTTGTTGTTGAGCGATGAAGATTGATTACAAAAATTAATTACTACTAACAATCTATAATGATATGGGTGTGTTTATATTTAAAAGTGCTAGTATTTAGGGGAAAATAAAGTGCTAGTATTTAAGTTCAATTGGTTTTGGTCAAGTCTTGTGATGCTTAAAAACCAAATAGCGATTTTCAACACTCTTTGGCAAGATTGGCCATCTTTAATTGTTCTGAAATTTTTGGGTATTGCTTCAAAGTGCAACAAACATCTGTTTCCTGCTTTGCTTGCTTGCTACTAGTATTTTTGAAATATAAGTGAAAAAAGAATTCAATTTTTAGATCACACACTTTTTTCTTTTGAAAACTACACACACATATATATATTGATAAGCTAAAAATAATTGCTTTTTTTTTTTCTTTCACCAGTCCTAAAATTTGTATGTATTGAAGTTTTGAGTCTTAAATTGGACTATTGTAACATCACGATCAACAAAAAGATAGTTATGCCTGAAACAGTTCGGTCAAACCACTTTGGCCAAGTTCGTTTACAAACACTATTTTAACCAAAAAAAAAAAAAAGAAGAAGGTAAATTGCACAAATCTTCCCAAATTGATTTTCCGTCCTATTTGTTAAATTACACTAACTTCACTGTGAGATTTGTTGGGTATGTAATTTAGTTTTTGTTCTTATATATGTGTGCGTTGCATATGATTAAAAAACTGTATAAATTTGTGAAAAAATTACTTAATCAAATGTAATTGAAACTGTATAAATTTATGAAAAAATTACTTAATCAAATGTAATTGAAACTGTATAAATTTGTGAAAAAATTACTTGATCAAATGTAATTGTAGACTCAACTAAAATTGTACGTTTTAGATTTTTATTTTATAAATTAATATTAGAGTTCATTCAATTTTAAAAATCATGAAAGATAAATTATAATACACCTGTAAGAAAGAAATTATAATTAGTTTTCAAGTACACTTTATTTGTCATTGTCAAAATTGAAAATTAAAACTCAAAAATATAAGGTTAATACAATTGGCTATATCTCTTCACACAATTGTCCAATGTCAGCTTGGTTGGAAATTTAGAATATGTAGCAACTTTCAAAAAGACTATATATATATAGAACCGGTAGTATATTAAGACTAAAGATAATAAGATATTATTTATTGAATTACGTAATAACAGTTCAACAACTATAGGGTAAAAGAAAATACAGATTTATGATTGACACGAAACAATTGGATAAATCTCTCCATAAAATTTCCAATGTATGCTTGGTTGGAAATTTAAAATTTGCAGAAACTTTCAAAGAGAAAATATATATCTATATAGAATGAGCACGATATTCATACCTCCACAAAAGGTAATCCATACCTCACCATTATCTGCAATGTTGAGAACCATTTTACCATCGTATAACATAATATATGATCTAGTAGAATTGGACAAAATTGAAAAGAAAAGGGAGAAACACTAAAAAAAGAAAATAGTAAAATAAAGCACTAAAAATAATAAGATACAATATTAAGAATTACGCAATAAAAATTTGACAAAAAAGTAAAAGAAAGTACATATTCATGGTTGGCTTGAAACAATTGGATAAATCTCTCCATAAAATTGTCCAATGTATGCTTAATTGATTGGAAATTTATAATCTGCAACAACTTTCCAAAAAAAAAATTAAAATAAAAAAAAAATTATATGAATATTGTTAATGGGTTCATGCCATTTGATGGTAGTAATCCTTAATGATCAATTAACTTCCATTTTTCTTTTATTATCTTTTTCTTTTCTTAGAGCACGTGTAGCGGTTCTATAACACATGCACCAATCAAATTAGAAGTGCAGTTTAAAAGCGAGACCTCAAAATTTATATCCCAAATCGTTACCAATGCTGCTATGCCTCTTGAGACATTAACCTTCATTTTTCAATATAGATAATAAAGGTCTATGATATTCTTGTATTTATATGCAATAAAAGTGTAAGAAGTTACTTTTTCAAATAAAAAAAAAAAAAAAAAAATTAAGTGTGAGAAGTTGTCAAAGAAAAAATGAGGGTGGATTGAACCAGAGTGTAGGATATTATCATACATTACAGTGAATAATACACCATATATAATTGGCTTGAGAAGAATCCCGCAAATGCATATGCAATATCTTCTACAGCTCTTTGAAATGGTGGGTTCCAAATACTCTATATTACAAATTGTTCTTAGAGCTGCCAACTTGGGCGGGCTAACTCAGCCCAACCCAAGTCCAACCTGAAATTCTGAAATTTGAATTATAAATTTATAAATCGGGCTCATGTTCGGATTGAGTTTTGTCAAAATCCAGACATATTCGGGTTGGGCTCGGACTCAACCCGAACCCAACCCAAAACCCGAAATAAATAAATGAAAAAAAAATATATATTTATTTTTTATTTTTTCTCTTTCTCTCTCTGCCGTCCCCTTTGCTGTAAACCACAGGATGTATGTATATTCCAAATGTTGGAAATTGGTAATAAGTTGACTGAAGATCCATGGGAACCAATTGTTGAGAAAATGGTAATAATTAGTATATTCTAAATAGCTTGAGAGTTGAGAGACGCGGCTGAAGCTTGCGTATATTGATCATGCTTCACATATAAAGTATGAGAAGTGATATGTCTTTCAACCTCAATTGACGACTCATTTTTCAAACACAACGTGGTTGGGAATGAGTCGAAAAGAAAGAGATATTTACGAAATTTTGTTTTAAGAGTTCCAATATTATCCAACCACATTGTATTCAGGGGATGAGTCGTCAATTTTAATCGAAAGATCTATCATTTCTCATAGAGTATTTACGTTTTCCAAATACTCTATTTTATATTTTGTTCTTCCAATCCATAATGGTCATGCTTCACATATATTAAATTTAATTAATTACTTTTAATTGAATAGACAAGTAAAATACATAACGGTCAGAAACTGAAGTTTATGACCATTAAATTACAATAATTGTTAGTAAAAAAATATTGTTCAATTCCAATATTTACGTCTCCAAATACTCTATTTTACAATTTGTTCTTCCAATTCTATGTTAGTCATGCTTCATGCACATGTATTAAATTTTATAAATTACTTTTAACTGAATAGACAAGTAAAATACCTAACGGCATGACCATTAAATTACAATAATTATTAGTAAAAAAATATTTCATGAAAGTATTTAATGAAAATTGTTTTGTATTTTTTTAAAATCTAAAAATGTTAAAGAAATTTCTTACACTTTTAGAACAGTACTAGGAAAATTCACGTGCGATGCACGTGATGAATTAATCATTAAATAATATAAATGATAATACAACCTTAGATATAATAATAATAATCATCATCATAATAATGTTTATGTATGTGATTAAAAATTATATAAAATTGTAAAAAATAAATATCAAGTAATTAAAATAAAAATAATTATAATATATATAAACACAATTATTATAAAAATTAGGTCCATAACAATGACTATAAAATAGAAAATGCATTAACAGAAATTTAAGAAAAAAAAGAAGAGTTGGTGATTAATGAAACTCTTTGCTTAGAAGTAGAGTTTGTAAAATATATTTCTTCGTAAATACCAGCAATGGATCATTGGGTTTAATGCATCGCATAATTTGGTTGAACCCCAATGCACAACATTTGACTTGTACTACATGAATTTTTTTTGAGTTGTGATATTTAGGCCTAGCAATTCCGCCAAAACCTTCAAAATTTTAAGCGAACTTTTAAAAGTGACAAGTTAACATGGATGGTTTAAATTGTGGCGGTATAAATTACAATTTTCAATTTAAAAATAGTCTGTCAATCAACCACGAAAATCATAAGTTTATAAAGGATCAAAATCATACTGGCATGCCCCCGGGGGCTTGACCAAGTTGATAAGGTAATGATCTGGGAATGCTCATGTCCCATATTTGAACCCGTCCATCGCCATTATAACCCTCGACTGAAATTGTTGCTGAGGAAAAAAAAAAAAATCACACTGGCATAGAAATACATTTTACACAAGAAAAAGTGCAAAATGGTAATTAATAGTGCTTACTAATAGCATAAAATAGAAAAAGTGCAGAATAGGTAAATCATTTTTTGGGAAAATTTCCACGCGTTTTTTGAAGTCTCTTGGAATAACCTTCTTTCACATGTACATTAGAATGATGATTAGCCGGAAATTCATGAAAATGAATTATGATTTGTAAGACAAAGTATTGACCATGATTAGAATGCTAATAAATTGTCATTGGGGTCAAACTCATCACTTAAAGGTAACGGTAGATATTGTCATATAATCCCTCTCTCAAGAGCTTATTTACTTGAAAATTAGAAAAATACATGAAAATGATTTTTGAGAACATATTTCTTGGAATATTTTGAAAATTTTATGATTGTATAGTTGAAAACAAATTCCATGGGAAAAAATAAGAAAAATTAAAATAATAGGAATTTTGGAATTAAACATGTTTTATCAGCATGCCAACCGCCAACAACTTTATCATCCTGGTTTCAACAAAATCTAAAATTTTATAAAACATGTAAACATAAAGTTAATTAATAATTATTTCCAAAACCCAGCTAATTTATAACTAATACTTCTATTTGCTAAATTCAGAGACATTAAGCAGAATGATAACATTTGGTTTTTGATTGCTCACAAAGATCACAAAGGATATGGAAACACCCTCAAATATGTGCAAAGTAATGAGGATTATTAGAAATTGCACATAGTGAAAGTGCATGATTACTATGTCATGATTGACAAGTATATATTTCTAAAATATAATATGAAGAGAAAGAGGGTGGCTAAAAAACATGTCTTCTCCCAAACTGTGAATCATGTGGGGCTTTTTTTTTTTCTTTTTTTTTATTTAATTATTTTTTATTTTTTAAATCGAATTATTCAACCACTGAGTAAATTTTGAAATTAAAATTACCGCAAGTGGGAAAATGCAATAGGTGCTACAATAATTTTTTGCAATGCAAATGGAGAAAATGTATAAAAATATATAAAAAAAAAGTAAAATTTGTTGAAGTTTAGTCAAGTTAGGCATCCATAACGGTTCTTAATTTAGTTTAAAAAAATTAAATTAAAGAGAGAAAATATATAAAATAAAAAAATAAAATTTGTTGAAATTTAGTCAAGTTAGCATCCATATATGTTCTTAATTTAGTTTTAAAAAATTAAAATTTAGTATTAAGGAACTAAAAGGTTAGCAAGTTATTAGACTATGCTTATTTAGTTGTGTGGAACCAATCTTCATCGCTGCACTGAAAAATCAATAAAATAATAAAGCATTCAAAATCAATATATAGTGTGTGATTATTTACTTATATGTAAAAACATAAAATCTGACAATAATTTATATATAAGTTGTACAATAATCCATAACCGCTCACTTATCTTGGTAAGTGATAAGTGAAATTAGATAATCATTCTGTACACAATCAACACGGAGGGGGAAAAAAAAAAAGAGTAATAATAAAAACAAACAAGATAGAATAATCAAAATGGAAACTCAAAAAAAAGAAAAAAATCAAATTCCATTTTTATGTTAGTAATGCCTTTACCCTTTCTGCAACAAAATAATCTATAGTATATTATACCATCAAATTCTTCAATATAAAATTGTCTCTGTAAAACTATCCCATGTTTCATCAGTCTTTCTTTTCCTATAAAAAAATAAACTGCTTCAAAGATTAATGTGGAATTAAAATAGTGGAAATACACAATCATCCTTAACACAATCAGCATGGAGGAGAAAAAGAGTAATTATAAAAACAAATAAGATATTCTTAAACATTAGAACAATCATAATGGAAACTCAACAAAATAAATAAATAAATAAATAAAATTCCGTTTTTATGTTAGTATAGTCCTTACCCTTTTTGCAATAAAATAATCTTTCTTATATTATACCATCAAATTCTTTAATACAAAATTGCCTCTATAAAACTATTCCCTATTTCATCATTCTTTCTTGGGTTAAGTGCAAAAAAAAACCCCGATATATAGCCTTTGTGCAGAACAAGTCCCTACTTTTTAAAAAAGTGCATGCAAGTCCTCAAAATTCAAAAAAAGGTGCATTACAGGTCCCTCTGACAACTTTTTACGAAAAGTAAAACTTAAAACCCCATTTTACCCTTTTCTTTCCCATTTTGGCCCTCACAATTTGTGTAGAAAAGCCCCTCAGCATTTGTGTATAAAAGGCCCCCAGCACCTTATACCAATTCGTCTCTCTCTCTACATGATCACTGTTCCCTTTCCCTCTCTCCTTCTCTCTCTTTCCATGCATGTGAGTTTCAATTCTTGTTTCCTTTGTTTATTTTTTTAGTTCTCTATTTCTTCATTTTTTTCTTTATCCATAACTGCACACTATTTATGTTATTAATTATCTCAGAAATTTTTTTCATTTACTCCAAAACATGCCATCATCTTTAAGCTCAAGAAGCCATTGTTACCCATATGGGAGGTCAGTGAAAGAATATTATTGTAAATGTGGAGTTAAAAGTCCTTTGAAGGTGTCATCTACCCAATGAAATCCTGGTAGAAGGTTTTACGGGTGCGCCAACTACAGGACTGGTTCATGTGGTTTTTTGAGGTGGGAGGATGAAGAATTGCCTGATTATTACCGTAAATTGATTTGGGATCTTATGACAGAGATACGAGAGCTGCGGGACTTGCAAAAAGCTGATTCTCCAGTAATTGGTCAAGCTCGAACCATGAATGTGAATGATGACAGGCTTTTGGAGATGGAAAACATGATAGCAGAATTAAGAGAGATGAAGCACACAGGATATGCCCAACCTAAAAGAAGATGCATACCTCAGTTTTCCATTCTCAATTTTCTTTTGGGGTTCTTTACTTGTGTTGTATTGTTCAAGCTACTAATGTAAAACATTGTAAACAAAAACATGTTTTGTGGTTCTTTACTTGTGTTACATGTTCGAATGCAAATCTAACATGTTTGAATGTTGTCTAACCTGTTTGAAAGCAACTACAACCTATTTGATTTTTATTTTTTACATACAACTACAACTTGCACCATATTGTACCCAACACTACTCACATACATAAACATTGTACACAACAACACTCATATACACAGACCTACTGCACCACCCATTCAATGGTGACCAACCATTCAATAAATGACCAACTATAGCCTGCACCACCCATTCAATGACAACATTCAATAAGTTAAATAATCACAACCACCAACAACATAGACATACATAATTTGCTTCATAGTTCCCAAATAACATACATATATATTGCTCCACGTAGAGACACATACATACATATATTAAAAACATACATATGTATTACAGCTCCATAGTTCCCCAACAACACAGCACACACATACATACATATTGCAGCTCCATACATACATAAATATTGCAGCCAGTCAAACAAATGTTAAAAACAAAAACAATAGTTGTCCATTTGTTAATCCATGAATCAAATACACAAATGATTACTTTAGATTTACCATACAAGTCGCAAATTGTCCACTAGCAAAAGGCAACACCTTGGACTGAAGTAAATTGAAACTTGGATGAAACAAAGGCAACAGTTTTAGACAGTGGAATCTGCAACAAATAAATGGTACAAGATAATTAAAAATGCCCTACGCAAGTATGTGTTTTGAATGGAAAAGAAGTAAAATTAAAAATTCATTTACCTAGAACCACCAATCTTGGCTTTCTTGGGTACCATTCCCTAGTGTATGTGGCATGTCAACAATCTGAGACTGAGAAACATTGATAACCTATAAAGATGGTAAAGTTAAAGTTGAGTTGACAACACTTATAAAATAATAATAATAATAATATAAATCAATCCATATACCTCACTGTTGATCCCACTAGCCATCACTGGGACATCAGTCAAGTTGTCGGCACCAATGTCAACATTTACAGCCATATGACTGCCACCACCCCTGCCTCTCACAGCACCTCTACCACCCCTGCCTCTCACAACACCTCTACTTCCCATAGCATTGTTAGTAGCAACACCACCACTCAGTGAAGTACTTCCCAACACATTGTTACTCCCAAGACTTCTACCAATTCTTTTCCTACTCCCAACACCACTGCCTCTCACTCTCACTGAAGTACTGACTCTCATTGAAGTACTGCCCATAGCATTGTTACTCCCAACACCACCACTGCAATTAAGAACAGTTTCAGTAGCCTTTTGAACATGCAATACTCCAAGTTGAGGGTTTTTGGGTCTACCTTATTTGCTTTTAGGTGGTCCTCTCTGCACTTGTTCATTTTTGCAGGTCCTTGAGTTGTGACCAGTTAATTGACATTTTCCACAAATAAGGTGAGCCCTTTGTTTGTACACACGTTTTCCACTTGATGTACCTTCATCACAAGCTTTCTTCCTCAATTTCTTTGGTCTGCCTGGGGGTTTCCTAGCTATAGGAGGAATAATTGGAACCACTCCAGTTACTTCTTTCATATTTCTCAATGTCATTGGATATACCATCCCTGCATATGACTTCAAGAATGTTTCCTTATAAAAGTATGGGTCAACAAAGTCTTCAAGAACTGCCCCTCTTTTCTTTTGTATAGCTGCACATGCATGCTTGCATGGGATACCTGTGACATCCCATGCCCTACAAGTACAGCTTTTTTAATGTAAGTCAACAGTCTCATTCACTCCTCCATCTTCAACCTCATAAATGGCTTTTCCAGAGAGGTGAGCAGGACAACTCATTGAGTTCCTCTTGTTCAGTTTTAGCTGAGCTGTTGGAGCTAGACACAACAACCCCAAGGACTTTCTGATCATTTCAAGCATGGTGATGATGGGCTTATCTCTAGCCTTTAGTATGTGTGAATTCCATGATTCACACATATTATTGTTGTTAAGGTCACACTTTGACCATTCTGAGTACTTACACTTAGCCCACAGGTGAGGGGGTATCTTGGCCAACCAATCATATGCATCTGTGTTAATTTCTCTGATTATCTGCATGTGTCCCTGAAAGTCTACCATTGTGAAAGAATTTGCTGCATCCCATAACTCTTGCTTCAACTCCAAGCCTGGGAACTTCTTTTTGAAGTTGTCATACATGTGCCTTACACAGAATCTGTGATCTGCCCCAAGCTTCTCAAGTGTGTCAACCAAACCCTATAATAAAATCATAATATCAGTAAATGAATTTTAAACTATCTGAAAATGTATTTTAAAGTATTAATAAATGCATTTATACTATCAGTAAATGCAGTTTTAAACTGAAAGTCTGTAAAAGAATTTTCTAACATACCTTTTGTCTGTCTGAAATGAATATTATTTCTTTGTGGGGGCAAAACAAATCCATGAGGTTATACAGAAACCAATCTCAAGTTTCCTTTGTCTCTGCTTCCACAATACCAATTGCAACGGGATAGAAGCTATTGTCCCTATCTCTACCAATAGCACTTAGTAAATGTTGATTGTAATGAGTTTTTAGAAAGCAACTATTTAAGCCAATGAATGGCCTACAACCCTCTTTAAAGCCTCTCCATATTGCATTCAATGAGAAAAACAGTCTCTCAAACCTTGTAGACTTCCCATCTGGCTCTAAGCATGCATCAACCCTAGCAACACTTCCGGGATTTGTCTTCAATACCAACTGACAATACTCTCTGATTTTTGAGAATTGATCTTCATGTGTGCCATCAATCATCAGCTGACATTTCCTTTTTGCCCTATAAATTTTGAACCTATTAACTATCAGGTTCAAATCATCAGTAATCTGACCCATAAAACCAGAATTTTTCCACTCAGGGTCCCTCCTAAACCTATGCACATACTTCTTTGCAAGATAAGAAGATGTTGCTAGTCTGCTTGTTTGAACTTCAGAGCAGTTATGTTCATCATTGAATGTACTAATCACAATGGCACTATTTGATTTTCTCTTTGAAGCATGTATCCTCCACCCACACTCATTTCTACATATACATGTAACCCTTTTTCCATCATTTTTAACAAACTTGATGTCATATTTGTTCTTGATAGCATGGTCTCTCAACACATCTTTGAATTCTGCAAATGTAGCAAATTCCATTCCCACCATTAATATTTTTTCCTTCTCTCCCATTTCTCTCCTAGCAATGAAATTCTGATTTTTTGCAAGGAATATGTATCTCATCATCTGAGTCACTATGGATACTCCATAGCTCATCACTTGGTGCATAAACTGAGACATCATCTAACTCTTCACTATCTTCCCCATCATATATTTCATCATCTTCATCAACTGAGGCATCATTGTGCACATTCTCTTCAACACTTACAGGTTGCACATGGTCATTGTTAGGCTGCACATGGTCACTGTTAGGCTGCAAATGGTCACTGTCATCCATTGATTGGGTTAAATATTCTGTCCACCGATACTGAACTTGTGCACTAAACCTATAATCCTCATTCTCAGTATTAGTGACATAAATCTTAATCAAAGATGAGCTGTTGTAAGCCATAAACATCTGCATAACACTCCCATCATTAATTATCTGCATCAAGTGTCCACCAATAGGATCTCTGTAGAACATTTTACTCTCACCCAACTGTAGCATATCCACCATGTCTTCCAATTCAAAGTAAGACATCATGTCAGGGTCCACATTGTCAACTAACTCTATGCTACCACCAACATAGTTGTTGCGTTGATTCAACTTTCCCGAATGATGGAACTGAAGTATGTATGTCTTCCCCATTTACTAAACAACCATACAATGTTAGTGTATACATAATAAAATATAAACCATCACAAACCACAATTATATAAGCTTTTGTCACAAGCATGCATGCATATTAGAGCGGGATCTATGGATTCGTCATGCAATATGCATGTCATGCACTAAAAAACAATGTTATTGTATAAATAATAAAATATAAACCGTCACAAGCCACAACTATATAAGCTTTTGTCACAAGCATGCATGCATATCAGAGCGGGATCTATGGATCCGTCATGCAATATGCATGTCATGCACTAAAAAATAATGTTAGTGTATAAATAATAAAATATAAACCGTCACAAGTCACAATTATATAAGCTTTTGTCACAAGCATGCATGCATATCAGAGCGGGATCTATGGATCCGTCATGCAATATGCATGTCATGCACTAAAAAACAATGTTAGTGTATAAATAATAAAATATAAACCGTCACAAGCCACAACTATATAAGTTTTTATCACAAGCATGCATGCATATCATAGCGGGATCTATGGATCCGTCATGCAATATGCATGTCATGCACTAAAAAATAATGTTAGTGTATAAATAATAAAATATAAACCGTCACAAGCCACAACTATATAAGCTTTTGTCACAAGTATGCATGCATATCAGAGCGGGATTTATGGATCCGTCATGCATTAAAAAATAATGTTATGTATAAATAATATAAATAATAAAGACATGGACCCAACATCACATATAGAAACATTCCATCAAAAGTATAAACAAACAAAACACAATTATTCTAAGGTACTGTTTGTAGCACTTGGACCCAACATAAAGCTTAGCATTTTCTATACACATGGGACCATTATAGTTTACAAAACCCTCACAATAAATAAAGTCAATCAAACCACAATAATGCATTGGGCAAAACATAAAAGCAAGGGACCACTATTGTTTACAAAACCCTAACAATAAATTAATAAAGCCAATCAACCCACAATATTGCATTGAACAAAACATATGTGCATATAAAAATCCAAACTTTATAGTATAAAACCCCAATTTAAATGGAGACCGGATCATCATATTTGTCACATATGGGTCACAATCATGCATTAGGTCACACAAACATATATATACTGAATCTATAAGCAAAAAAGTACAAATGGACCAACCTACTGACAAACCCCTAACACTACTGAATCGTACATACATGACACAAACATATATAAGAGCCAAAATTGCAAGAGAATATAAGAAAAAATGATAAACCCACTATTGTTTACAAAAACACTAACTGTTAGGAAAGAAATACGAAAAAAATCAAAAATCCCTAACAAATGTTGAAACAAAATCAACCATGCATGCATACTACACGATTTAAGAACAAAATCATAGAACATTTAACAATTTACGAGACGAATCAGAAAACTCTAACAAATGTTGAAACAAAATCGAACCACATAATCATACAAAACATTCAGTGAGTTTACAACTCTTCACAACGCAAAATTTTACACAAATCTAACACAAATAACACGATTTAAGAACAAAATTTTGATTTAAGAACACTTACGACACGAAGGAGTCTTCACAGCCCCACGGCACAACAACACAATCGATCTTTCACTGATTTTACAACTCTTGCAAGTTATCTTCAACCAATCAACAAACAAATACAGAGATTCAATCGATTTAGACAACAAATACACATGAAAACGGGTTAGGGTTTCAGAACACTAAGGAATTTAGAGTTGGCCTCTCTCGTATACAATACAGACTTAGAGTTGAAAATGGTTAAGTGTGTTTTATATAGTTGGGGCATGTTTGGTTTTAGAGTTCATTATATTCAGGTTTAAGTTATCCCATATTTAAAACAATTTGAGGTTTATATTATCCTTCTACCAAACAAACCCTATTTTATACAAATTTGGACAACATGGTCATTTTACATGGCCTGTATTATAATCATTAATTTATTTAACCGAAGTGAGGGTATTATCGTCATTTTACACCACTAGGGACCCAATCGCACCAAATTGATAGCATAGGGGTTTTTTTTTTACTACATAGGGACTGATATGCACTATAGCGATAGTAGAGGAGGGTTTTCTGCACTTAACCCTTCTTTCTTTTCCTTTAAAAAATAAACTGCTTCAAAGATTAATGCAAAATAAAATATTGAAGAAATAAACTTAAAGCTAAATAAGAGTAAAACTTGCCCTAATAATATGATAAAAGAAAATTTCAGAAAAAAAACTAATCCCAAACAAGACTTACGATCTTTCCATTCTTGAACCATTCATCCTCTGAATTAGGTCCACCTGAATACTTACTTGTCTAAGAAGAAAGTAGGATTTTCTTGATTAAATTTCTCTTCTTTTTTTTTTCTTTTTTTTTTATTATTATGAATCAAACAAAAATTTGGAAAAAAAAAACAAATCAAACCTCCACCGAAAGAAAAGCCATCCTCGATAGAAATAGAAGCATCCAACACATAATCCTAATATCCATCAAATTATTACTCCAAATAATGTAACATGAGAGAGAGAGAGAGAGAGAGAGAGAGAGAGAGAGAGAGTTTAATTATGAGAAAAGCTAGCTTACTGAAAATATATGGTCACTATGGTCATGTGGTGTGATAACTGAAACATTAAATTGGGGAGGTCACTTGTCGGTTGTGGCCTCTTCAAATTTCATATTTTAATTTAAAAAATAAATAGTTTAAAAAATGTAGGATTAGTTACCAAATGTATTAATAATGAAATTTTAGTAATAGAGAGATAGGAGTTATGAATATGAACCACAAGTTAATTATTGTATGTGTGTATATTAATAAAATAAATAAATCAAAGTATATATATCAAATGAAAAAAAAATTGTTAAGAAATAGTTTACACTTTCAGAAAAATAATGAAAATTTAGTAATGGAAATATAGGAGTTATGAATACGAACCATCAACTAATTATTGTATGTGTTTATATTAATATATGAAAGCAATAAATTAAAGTATATATATCAAATTGAAAAAAAATCGAAAATGTTAAGAAATTCTCTACACTTTTAGAATAGTATATATAGATATATACTTTCCTACACTCGAATTTTTTATGTAAATAACACAAACCTCCCCTTTCATAACGGTCGACAATGAAAAATGTTGATGTCTGCAATTTTTTAAGAATTGAAAATTAAAAATTACAAAATTGCAGACATCAACATTTTTCATTGTCGACCGTTATGAAAGGGGAGGTTTGTGTTATTTACATAAAAAATTCAAGTGTAGGAAAGTGTAATTTGGCGAATAAGGGGGAGGTCAATGTATTTTTACGTAATTTTAGGAGAGATCGGTGTAATTCACCCTAATAACAACAATAACAATAAAAGGGTAAATTACACTGACCTTGAGGTTTGGTCAAATTACACACATTTATACCGTTCAGTATTTATTACTTTGACCACTCCCAAATCCATTCACCGATAGCCAAAAAGTGATTTTGCATTAAAGTTCTTATATTATAATACGAAGTAATATATTTATGTTGCATTTTATACAAGGGAAGGACAATATTGTCATTTTATAAAATTTGGTCCAAAAAAAAAAAAAAAACTCTCTAGGATGTCGTTGAGCAGACACGCCAAATCTTAAGAGTGGCCAAAATAATAAATGCTAAATGATTTACTTATATATAATTTGTCTAAACATTAAAAAATGACAGTATAATTTATCCCAATAAAAGTAAAAGGGATAATGTAATTCCATGATGCATACATCTTTGATATTTGAAGCCAATCTAACAACATTGTTGATTTGTTGTAAAAATTTTCAAATAAAAGGAGATATCTGTGTAATTATAAAATGTCTTTGAAGAAGTCGATCTAATTTGCGTGATATATTCGAAAGTTTTTATTAGAAGGGAAATTCAAACATGGATACTTCGCTGGTGATCAAGTAATGCCTACTAAAATTTTCATTTCCATACGAATTTTTAAGACGGGATGGGAACGAGGAGCAATTTCCTGGGCGTGATGCCTTGACTAGTGATGACTAATTAAAAGGAATCTCAAAATGGTGGGCATAATAATAGTCCAGTGAAATAAGTTTTTTTTAAGACTGGTGGCAATTGTTATAATTGGTTAATAATCATTAAAATTTGATTACTAAAAGAAAGATATGGATTTGAAAGAATTTTTTATTTTATTTTTATTGGCAAGAAACATACAAACTTCATTCGCACATGTGCTTTGGTCTTTTGTGATTTGAACTTTCATCATTCATTTAAAAAATTAAAAAAGATATCACTAAATTACAAGATTTTGGTGACCATGAGTTAGACTTTGATAGACATCAGTCAAACATAAATTAATGTTTAGGGCGATAATTAAATGAATTTTTTTTTTTTTTTTT